AAGACTGCTTAGATGTGTTCGACTTGAAGCAGCGCTGCTTAGACCGATCGGTGTGTCATCAAAGTACTGCGAGAGCGGACGTCTCCTTATGCTTTCTCTCGCCGTACTTTGATGTCATACACCGATCGATCTTCAAGTCGAACACACCTCTTTATTCTCGCATGTCACATGACCGAGTGTAATCGCAGCCTCTGTGATTGGAAAAATCACGTTTTTTCATATCGCGATATTATTGCAAATGCAATTAATCGTTCAGCCCTAATTCAAAAACAAAGTATTGTCTAATTATCAACAAAATCCTTGACAATTTAGTTTAGTTTTTTTCTCAGCATTTACAGCATTAATGTTTTATTTTTTTTCAGGTCTTAAAAGCCTTAAATTAGACTTTTAAAAATGTGCAGGAATCCTGTGGTAATGCATTTTATGCATCGCTCTCTGCAACGTCAGACACTTAATGTATCGTAGAAAACAGGAGCCGTTTCAAATCTAATTTTTGAGTCTTTGGTACACTTGGTTTTAAAGAGAACATGCTCAGCAATGGTCATCTGTAAATGACTGATGAATTTGCACATGGTTTGTCTTTAAGTATATTAAAAACACCAGATAGACATACTGTATAAACGATGTCAAAACTTGATTTTCACAATGTTACTTTATTCTTTAATACATTGTTTTCCTTTCTCTTTTAATTTCCCAGGTGTGTTTCTTTGTAGCTCTGTATTATAACGTCATCATTGGTTGGAGTATTTTTTACTTGGGAAGTTCTTTCCAGTATCCTCTACCATGGGAAAACTGTCCGACAGAAGGGAACAGCACCGGTAAGGATTAGAAGTTTGTGTAATGCAATATAAAATGAGTCATTTTCACTTGTGAGATTAGATATAAAAATGTCACATTTCTGGCATCAGTTCTTCATATGGAGATGCATTTCTTGTTTTTGCTCCTAGTGAAGGAATGTGCCGCCAGCTCTCCCACAGCATATTTCTGGTACCGTAAAGCTCTGGATATCACCGATTCCATTGACGAAACCGGAGAGTTCAACCCCATCATCACTGGATGTCTGCTGGCCGCTTGGGTCATCGTTTGTCTGGCCATGTACAAGGGCATCAAATCGACTGGCAAGGTACTTGGAGTTTGTTTCCGTATATATATATATGTATGTATGTATATGTGTGTACTGTGTGTTGTAATTTGATTATTGATGGTATTGATCAGTATCTGTTGTGTGTAGGTGATGTATTTCTCCTCCGTGTTTCCGTACGTTGTGCTGCTGTGTTTCCTGATCAGAGGCGTGACGCTGGACGGGGCGTCCGAGGGCATTAAATTCATGTTTTACCCCAGGGTATGTAGATAATTGCATGACTTTTTAAGCTGCATGTTGAGTTGAGGTTCAGAATGTGGGAAAATGTATTAATTAGACACCATAGTCCATAAAAACTATCACCAAAATGGTGTCTTCTCTCAGTATTGTCATGTTATATACACTGAAAAAACTGGTGTAGAAATAGTTTTCACTTAGAAATTGCTAGTAAGTTTACATTTACAAATAAATGGCCAGTAACGCATTGAATTTAAGGTGAAACTTAAGTAGAAAAACTGATAGTTTTTTCTTGTAAAACATACTCCAGTAATTGTTTAATTTCAACTTTGAATTTAATGTGAAAAATGAAAAATGTTTTACAATAGTATTATTTATGTACTATATTTATTAATATTTGGAATGTTTTGGGTGGTTGCTAGGGTATTATTGGAATGTTTTAGGTGGTTGCTAGAGCATAATTGGAATGTTCTGGGTGGTTGCTGGGGTATTATTGAAATGTTAGGTGGTTGCTAGAGCATAATTGGAATGTTCTGGGTGGTTGCTGGGGTATTATTGAAATGTTAGGTGGTTGCTAGAGCATAATTGGAATGTTCTGGGTGGTTGCTGGGGTATTGCTTTGTTTTTGAGTGGTTGCTAGGTTATTGCTTTGTTTTGAGTGATTGCTAGGTTATTGGAATGTTTTGGTGGTTGCTAGGCTATTGGAATGTTTTGGTGGTTGCTGGGCTATTGCTTTGGTTTTGGGTGGTTGCTAGGCTATTGGAATGTTTTGGGTGGTTGCTAGGGTATTATTGGTATGTTCTGGTGGTTGCTGGGGTATTGCTTTGGTTTTGGGTGGTTGCTAGGGTATTATTGGAATGTTTTGGTGGTTGCTGGGGTATTGCTTTGTTTTTGAGTGATTGCTAGGTTATTGGAATGTTTTGGGTGGTTGCTAGGCTATTGAAATGTTTTGTGTGGTTGCTAGGGAATTATTGGAATGTTTTGGGTGGTTGCTAGGTCTAAAATATGAATACATCTGTAGTTATGCTTTGTTCCACAGTATTTCTTTGGTTAAGAATGACTCCGCTTAATGCTTAAGTTAAAGTTTGCGATCTTGTCTTTCTCTCTCAGGGTGTGGAGGGAACTGGTTTAGCGTTCATAGCGTTCACTGAAGCCATGACGCTGTTTCCTGGGAGTCCGTTCTGGTCGGCGCTGTTCTTCCTCATGCTGCTCAGTCTGGGTTTGTCCACCATGTTTGGCACCATGGCTGGAATACTGACCCCGCTGATGGACACGTTTAAGACCCTGCGTAACCACAAATTCCTCTTTACAGGTAACACTCCCACCCTGTTGCTCTTGTTCTGTTGCTCTTGTGTCTTTGTTTATGTATATTTGGGTTTATCTTTGAATTGTTCAAGTTCAAGTTCAAGTCTAGAGTGCAAACCAGTGAAGTAAACAAACAGTGCAGATATAATGATGGTAGTGCAAAAGAGCTTATTTTGATTAAAGTGACAAAAGCTCAGAGAGCAGTTTTTTATTTAAACTGTCAGAAGAGGTAGTTGAATGAGGTCAGTTCAATGCTGAATGAGGTAGTGAGCAGACCAATGCTGCACAAAGTGACTGGTGCAGGTCCCAGTGTGTTAGTGGGAGGGGGGAGTGGAAGGACCTGGGGATGTGGGAGCTGGGGGTGAGGTCTGAGGTTCAGTGGTGCATGGGGCAAAAGAGGGGAGGGGGGCAAGGTCGGGAGGGAGTTCAGCTTCCTGACAGCCTGCCATACCACACAGTGATGCAGCTCGTCAGAATGCTCTCGATGGTGCCTCTGTAGAAGGTGCACATGATGGGGGCCGGGGCTCTGGCTCTTCTCAGTTTGCGGAGGAAGTAGAGACGCTGCTGTGTTTTCTTGGCCAGTGCTGCGGTGTTGTAAGTCCAGGAGAGGTCCTCTGTGATGTGCACACCCAGGAACTTGGTGCTGCTCACTCTCTCCACAGTCGCACCATTGACGGACAGAGGAGCATGCTGGGTGCGCACTCTCCTGAAATCAACAACAATCTCCTTCGTCTTCTCCACATTCAGAGAGAGGTTGTTGTCTCTGCACCACCCGGCATTGACCGAATTGTGTCTGTCTCTTGGTTGTAATCAGTTGTGTTGTGTTTTGCGTGTACGTATCACCCCTGTGATTGGTCTGTCTGATCATTATTTTGTCTTTTTCCCATCTCTCCCAGCATGCAGCTGTGTGGTGGGCTTTCTGATCGGTCTCACGTTCACTCAGCGCTGTGGAAACTACTTTGTGACTATGTTTGATGACTATTCTGCCACACTTCCCCTCATCATCGTCGTCATCTTTCAGACCTTGAGCGTGGCCTGGGTTTATGGAGCGGACAGGTATCACAGTGCGAGCAGAAGTGTGTTTATTTGTGGTTTAATGTGCATAAACGCAATGTATTTTTAATGCAGGTTTTTGGAGGACCTGAAGCGGATGTTGGATCGGCCGGTTCCTGTGGTGTACAAGTACCTGTGGAAATATGTGTGTCCGGCTGCTATGCTGGGGCTCTTAGGTGCCAGTCTGCTAAAGATGATCTTGGAGCGTCCCACATACACCGCCTGGAACAGAGAAAAGGTAAAATCACATGTGTGCTCTTGCAAGTAAACCTTTACTTTAAACTTTGACCGTATCAAGCCTGCTGTATCATTTGATGTGCAGATTTCTAAGGCCTCTGAATGATCAGCACGATCAAACCTGTTGCAAACAATCTACTACGTCATCTGTTTAATAGTTTAGACTTTTTTTTTTAGCAAGTAAAAGGCCTTTTTAAAAAAAATGTCCACGTCCACCTTCGGGTTGCGGTTCTTGGTTTTTTTTTGCTGTGAAATCTGATGTTTTTTTATAAAGTAAACGTAAGAGTAACTTTGATATTGTTAGTAATATTTCAAGACTGTAGCAACTTTTTTTTCAACATCTTTTTTTAGTAAAATCATAATGATGTAATGAGTATCAAATATGATCATCAGGCTTTTAAGGAATGCTTATTCGTTCAATCATCAATCATCTTTGTGTTGCATTGCATTAGATGTTTTGAAACTATAGAGCTTTGATTGAAATGCTAAGCATTAAAATCTCACTAAGACATATTATTGGGAGATACAGAATTACAACTAATATTTATATGCATTTTATGTAAGTAGTCTGCTATACAGTTATAAAGATCTCATTGATTTACATTACAACCTATCAGAATTTTACCTTAATTTTTGTCCATATAAATATCAGCGTCTGCACCAAATTGTATATTTTTGCTCCGTTTGGGCTTCTGAATAAATTTGAGCTGTTTTTTTTCCTCCATGTTCATCATACTATATTAACCATAAAAGACTGTGTCAAATATGATACTCAATAAAAAAAAAACACATGCATATTTTTATTTTGTCTAAAGGTTCAATACACGGTCTGTTTTATTATTACTATTATTATTTTTTTTCTGACTGCTGTTTCATATGTCAGGTTTTACAGAGTTAATTAACATTGCTCTATCCCAAATGTTCTCCCAGGCGTCTAAGGAAAATCTGCCTTATCCTGGCTGGGCTCTTGCTGTCCTGAGCACGCTCATCATTGTCGCATTTCTTCCTGTTCCTATCGGATTCATACATTCCCTCCTCCTGGAACGGCTCGGCCAGTCGCCGGCAGACACTGAGGCGGGATACGTGCCATGTGCCACCACAGACATAGACCTGACCCCTCTCAGCACGTTACCACCTTCAGGAGATGACCCCAATTCATTTTCCCCTTTGCTTTATGAAAACCATGACTCTCGTTTGCCGAACGGCCACATTGAACACTTCGAATCAAGTAGTGTGTTATGAGAAGAAACTACGTTAGAGTTTACAAACATCTCAGAAGGATCTATTTAAATCAAGACCATTTTATTATTGTACTTTGCTGTTGGGAACAATCATTTCTGTCTGTGCATACGGGCACAAAAATAATTTTGGGTGTTCATCGCAAAAAAGAAAATTGTCATCAATTTCACTCAAAACATCACAGATGATCTTGTGGAGTTATTTAACCGTTTGTACAGGCTGCTCTTTTCCTTTTAATGGTAGTTGAAATCTGTTGAGCCCTGAAATTAATTTTGCATTATATTCCAAGCCTTTGTGAAAGTCTTGGCTTCTCAAATCTCAGTTTTACATCTCCGTTTAAACCTGTTACATGTGAAAACTCTTTATATGCGGCTGATGACAGTTTCCTTTTTCCAGTGAACTGTGGCTTTAAGTACAGCATAATAATGGTACCGCTGAGCCGTACCTGCATTTGGTGGGTCCAGGTGAACGCTGAACAACAAAGCAACACTATAGTTACCCGTTACAACGGTCGAATCATTTGGTAACTGATGGCTCTGCTGCTTTAGTTATCTGACGAGGTTATTTTTTGCATAAAGGTGTTGATGGGTTTGACTCATCGGTGTTACGCCTGTTTCACACTGCAAGCGTGAGCTTCGCGTCAGTGTAACTACAGCATCACTGCAGACTCGCCAGCGGATTCACACTGGAAGCGTTCGTACAGCGTCACAGCAGCGGCTCCAAAGCTACACATTTCTTCACAAAGACAACTAAATTTGTTTTTAGAGGTTGGTCAGTTAAAACTTGAAAGTTTTGAAATTTTATCGTGGGGATTCGCATGTAAATGGTAAACAACAAAAACGGCTCCGATCATGTCGTTTCAATCATACTTCGAAATAGAACGTGCTGTTTAATGTTTTTTTTAGATATTACACCATACTTTAACCCAACCTGAATAATTAAAAACAAGTTTAAATGGGTAAATCTTCTTAATTTTCTTTTGACATACTACAATTCTTGTTAAAACACACTAGATATACTTATTATGTGCTTTTTTTTTTTTTAACACTATATGTGAAATCATATTTATTTTGTTCACTTGAATTGAGCGTGAGCTGCTCCCCTGACGCTCCTGCTCCCAGTGTGAATGCACTCATTTGTTAACATGCACGCCCAGAAAATATGCACTGCTCACGCTTGCGGTGTGAAACCGGCCTTATTTGAACTCTACAATTCTACAAGGTCATTAATAATGAGTTTTCTGACTTCTATAGCATCAGAGGGTTAATGTTGGTCCATTCTGATGTGTTCTGTGTTTAGTGTCATTATTTAAGTGAGTGTAAAGTGGTACATTGTGTGTTCAAAAGACCATTTGAATAATTAAATCGCTCATAACTGAGACCTGGACAAATCCAGAGTCTTACAACATGGAAAACTGTGTGCTTTTCCAAGCAGAAATGTGTCGCTCATATTTCATCTTAATGGTCTTAAAAATAGACTTATTTGTTTTTGCAAAATATGACTGACATTTCTTTGTGAGGAAAAAATGCTATTGGAATTTTAAAACATTTTATTTATTTTTGTAACCTTCTGTTTTCTTTTTTTTTTTTTTTTTAAGCACTAACTACAGCCATCATAAAACTTTCAAATTTGCTTCCAGTCATAGTTTGTATGTGACGTGATTTTCTTATGAAGTATTTAATACAGCATTTTCGGAACAATTTTATAGATTTTTCTGTTAATTTTATATTGTACAGAAATATTAGTTGTTTTTATTTGTAAAATATCCCCTCTTTTTATTTTTCCAAACACTGTCTCGGACATGTTTCTAAAAGCGAACATCTGACCAGCAGGCCAGACATTTTATGACTTATAGTCATTGTGAAGTAACGTTATCTTTGCCTCTCACAGGGGTTTGATGAGTCTTCTGTGTTTGTTCAGTAGATTGAACTCTCTGTAAGTAGTTTGTTCTGGTCAGAAATATGTATATATATGATGAAATGGTGTTATTTAATTCTATTCCTCATGTAGTATACTTGAGAAATCTCTTATCTTAATTTTATTGTCTTGCTACAGTATGGTTTCAGTATTTCCTCCTTTTGCTTTGTCAAAGTCAGAAACTTGATTCTAAAGTCTTCGGTTTGTGTGAATGCTTGTTTGATGCTCATGCTGTGCGGACCGGACAAACAGACATTTTGTACAGTTTGCCTCATGATGATCTTGTTTCTGTATAAATTGTTATTTGACTTGACTTGTGACTTTTGTTTTCTTTTTCTGTATAAAGGTAAATCTCTTGT